GTGGCTTGCCCCTTGAAGCTGGCGCCACTGATCTTCTCCCTTCACATTACCCAGAGGAGGCCATGCACTTTTTCCCTCTCATAAACTTCTAAAAGTACCGTGCTAGCTCTGTCCTCCAGTTGAGAAGTGAAATGTGAATTGCTCCTTGAGTAGCTAGTTCCTGAAGCAGTTGGAGTTGTTTTCAGGTCTGATCAATGGCCTTTGCTTAGACCAGTAGCTTTCGGCCTTGCTGGCAGCTGGACTTCACCAGTGAGTATTCCTACCCTTGCTCAGCCGCATTTAGAATCCTTCCCTGGTCTACCACTCACCTGCTGGGTTTACCTATTGGATCACTTCACATAAAAAGAACCTCGTGTGCCTTCTATGCCTAGCTTCTTTCCCTTAGCATAATGTTCACAGGATTTGTTGAGATTATACAATAACTCATTGCTCCCCCTTTTTTTTTTTTTGTTTGTTTGTTTGTTTGTTTGTGTGTGTGTTTGTTTTTGGGTTTTGTTTTGGGGTTTTTTTGTTTTTGTTTTTCCAGACAGGGTTTCTCTGTGGCTTTGGAGGCTGTCCTGAACTAGCTCTTGTAGACCAGGCTGGTCTTGAACTCACAGAGATCCACCTACTTCTGCCTCCCGAGTGCTGGGATTAGAGGCATGTGCCACCACTGCCCGGCTTCAATACTCCATTTTAAAAATATTTTTATGTGTGTTGGAAATGTATGCCACATGTTTTCAGGTACCCACCAAGGCCAGAAGAGGGAATCAAATCCCTAGAGCTGGAGTTACAAGTAGTTGTAAGCCACCCCATGTGGGTTCTAGGAATCGAACTCTAGTCCTCTAAGACGAGAAGTGCTCCTAACTGCTAATTCATCTCTTCAGCCCCCACACTCCATCTTCATGTCTGAATAAGCTCACATTGGTATGGTAAGTAGTCCTATTTGTATGTGGGGCCATACCCTTCCACATCCCTAAGTTCACAGTAGCATTTACACCAGGCACAGTAAAGATGAGAAACTGATGATGAGATGGAAAGGGAAGGCTCCTCCGCCCGCTCTCTGAGAGATGTTTCGTGCCCACAGTAGGCTGCAGGGCACTGAATCAAGTGAGAGGGACTTTTGTGCCATGTGTTTGTGAGTGGTGCTGCTGTGACATTCGTTCACTGGTGTCTGGATGCCATCTCAGTCGTTTTGGGTATATGTATAGCAGTGAATTGTTAAAGCCTTAGCTAACTTTAAATGTTTATAGTTTCGTTTCAACAGCAACATGTGACGTTACTATTCTTCCACACCCTTAGTCGTTCTTTTTTCCTTGTCTTAACAGCTGTGCTAGTATGTGTGAAGTAACTGATCTTGAACCCCCTGCTCCTTCTTCCTCAGCCTCCCAGGTGCTAGAGTTTGGGGCATGCACCACTACGCCTGCCCTGCTGATTGTGGAGCCTGGGGTGCTGCTGTAGTCACCCTGAGGCAGGCAGGAAGGAGGAGCTTCAGGCTTGTGGGCCCTGCTAATAGGGTTGAAACTTTTCAGACAGCACTGATAAAACCAAACTTGCCTGTGGAGGAAAGGTGTGTACTCCAAAGACATTCAGGGCAATAAACAGGCTTGCCTTCACTTAGAGAGCTGTATCCCATTGAGTCTCAAGGACAACCTATCCCTTAAACCTTGACAACACCCTCATAAACCTCCCTTAAACTTCCATTCTTTCCTTCTACCACAGATTATAGACATGTGTATAATCCAAGAAACCAAAGGACGATAGAGAACTTCTGGTGAATTTGCATGTCATCCTTTGTGCAGGGGCCATACTAACATTTGTTTAGTGTATGTCTGCCTACAATAAGCACCTAAGCTACACTGAGCAATATCAGAATGGGGGAGGGACATTTCTCAGTAGGGTTAGAACTTACAGCTGTAACTTGAGAGCCATCATGATCCTATACCACACTCACCCTGTCGGATATGCACTCAACAGGTCTCAGCCCTCTTGTCTCTCTTCCCCCCTCTCTACCTTTCTTTCTACTTTTAAGTAAATCCAACATTAACTCATACTTGGCTTTCCCTGAAAGTGATGTCTTTGTCAAAGCCACTGTCCTGGTTTGCTTTCTGTTGCTGTGATGGGCAACATGACCACAGCAGCTTGGGGGAGGAGAGGAACCATTTTATTTCATAGCTTATAGTCTGTTATGGAGGAAAGTCAGCCAGAGCTGAAGCAGAGAGCATGGAGGAACACTGCTTACTGGCTTGCTCCCCATGGTTACTCATTTGTGTTTTCTTGTATGACAAAGATCCACTTTCCAGGGGTGCCACTGCCCCCAGGAACTGAGCCCTTCCACATCAATCATTAACTGAGAGAATGCCCCATAAACCTGCCTATAGGCCAGTCTGATGGAGATATCTTCTCAATTGAAGTTCCAGCTTCATTCCTAGCTGTTCCAGCTTGGCAAAAATCCCATCTCTGAAAACAGCTCTAAAGGCAGCTACCAATAGGTCCCTATGCTAGGTACAGTCCGACAGGCAAATCTGTCTTGTTGAATGCCTGCAAGCCCTTTGTGTGTTTTGTGATGGTGGGCAGGCCCTCCACTGCTGAGCTCCGTTGCCTTTAATTTGTGCTGATGACTAAAAGCCAGGACCTCATGCTGAGCACACACTCTGCCCTGCCCCCCCCCCAGCTGTGCCCCAGCCCCTGCCCATTTGTGTTAATGTATTTTCTTTTGAGCTTGATAGAATCATCAGTCACCATGGACCAAACCTTGAACACATGAGCCTTGTAGGGTCACCCCGTATTTATACACAGTTCACAGATTCAGGACTTCAAGATGCTCTGAAGCACTCTCTCCAAGATGCCCTGAAGTGCGCGCGCTCTCTCTCTCTCTCTCTCTCTCTCTCTCTCTCTCTCTCTCTCTCTCTCTCTCTCTCTCTCTCTCGTCTGTGTGTGTGTGTGTGTGTGTTTTGTTTTTTTTGACACAGGATTTCTCTGTGTAGTTCTAGCTGTCCTGGAACTCATTCTGTAGACTAGGCTGGCCTCAAACTCACAGAGATCCACCTGCCTCTGCCTCCTGTGTGCTGGGATTAAAGGTGTGGGCCACCACCCAGCTTTTTTTTTTTTTTTTTTTTTTTTTAAATCAACACAGATACCACTTCTGGGTATGCCAAGACCAAGAACTACCTAGACAAATCTGGCCTCAGGTTGGCTAGCTTTATGTCAACTTGATGCAAGCTAAAGTCAGCTGGGAAGACAGAACTTCGATAAGAAAATGTTTCTATCAGATTGGGCTGTATGCAAGCCTAAGGCAGGTGGTCTTAATCTGATTAATGTGGGAGAGGCCAGTTACAGGCAGGGCCACTCCAAGGCAGGTGTTCCTGAGTTGTGTAAGACAGTACGTTGAGGGCCTGGCGGTTGGTGGTGCTTACCTTTAATCCAAGCATTCAAGAGGCAGACAAGTGGATCTCGAGGCCACCAGGTCTACAGAACAAGTGCCAGGACAGGCTCCAAAGCTACAGAAAAACCTTGTCTCAAAAAAGAAAAAAAAAAAAAAAAAAAGCAGGCTGAGCAAGTCATCCGGAATGAGAGTAAGCAGCCTTCATGTTCTCTGCATCAGCTCCTGCCTCCAGGTTCCTTCTTGCTTCAGTTCTTTCCTTGGTTTCACTCAGTTGACTGTGACTCAGGGTACATGAACTAGGAAAACCCTTTCCTCTCCCAAGTTGCTTTTGGCATGGTGTTTATCACAGTAGGAAGCAAAACAAGATGTTCGTGTCCTTCTTTGGAATGGAAGATATGCCCCAAATGACAGGTCCATTCCTTAGTTGTTACTGAAACCATATTAACCCTACCTCAAATGCCAGCTCCCACCTGGGAGGTGGTATTCACTCTGCCTGCCATCCAAATGTGGAGCCGTCCTGCTAAAACCGTGAAAGTGAAAAGGCCTGGGCATTGGGCCATCTACCCACTAAGGCCCAGCCTTAGTGAACTGAAGAGACTTGTCCTGCGAGTTTGTCAAGCAGTGTAGAAGATCCATGGGTCACCAGAGTCTTTCATGTTGCCTTGGGGTATGTGCCAGGCTTTTTATGCTGCAACTGTCTAACAAATAAAGGCTGATTTTAAAGACATTTACCTGGTTACAAAGGAAAATTGTATTAAGAGTGCAAACATTGCTAGGCAGTGGTGGCTAACATCTTCAATCACAACAATTGGGAGTCAGAAGGGATCTCTGTGAGTTTGAGGCCAGCCTGGTCAACAGAGCAACTTCCAGGACAGCCAGAGCTATACTGAGAAACCCTGACTTGAAACAAACGAAAGTACAAGCATCAAAGGCCATGTGTGGAATTGAAGGCTAAGCAGTGAGACAGCTCTCTTCTGACCTCCTGGCCACCCACCCTTTGGCCACCCTGTCTCCAATGAAGGGGACACTTATGCCCCAGATCTCTCACAGGCCTGCAAGTCTTTATCTGGATGTAGCATGAGCTCAAGACCAGGTAAAACCATGGTTAAGGGTTGAGTTGATGCAGAGATGGTCTGAACCAAAAGACTGAACAGTGTCGCTCAAATGTCTGGATCCTCAATTGTTGATGATGGCCTCTCAGGCTGAGACCCAACGGCTTTTTTCCCATAGTGCCCTGGTTATGGGTGGTAGGGGATAAAGGTATACTCACTGAGCCATCTCTTTGGCCTAAAGAGACTTTGTTGTTGGGTTTTTTGTTTTGTTTTGGTTTTTCGAGACAGGATTTGGAGTCTGTCCTGGAGCTAGCTCTGTAGCCCAGTCTGGCCTCGAACTCACAGAGATCAACCTGCCTCGGCCTCCTGAGTGCTGGAATTAAAGGTGTGCGCTACCACCACCTGGCTCCTGAAAACTTTTGAAAAAGAAATCTGTCCATCTCCAAAATGACCTCAAGCCTCCCCACCAAGACAGCTACAAGACTTGTGAAGCTCCAAGCAGCCACCTATGAAGGTATTAAGACCATTTTCTGTTAGCAAGAATCACACATGCATAAAAATTTTTCATCTTTTATTCACTCTTCAAGGAATAGCTGTTTCACTGTGTGTGTGTGGGAGGGTACCTAAAATAGAAAGGCCCCCTGGCAAGGGAGGTAATTTCCATCCTCCAGTCATGCCACCTTAACCAGGATGCCAGCTAAGGAGATAGACATTTACCATGAATATTTTGGCACGCTGTAGAGGCCAGGACTGCACACAGGCCTCTGGGAGCGGCATATCCTCTATCCTGCAGTGAGGTCCAGCAGCAGCAATATGGGATAGCCTTGCATAGACAGCACAGAGCTCAGCTCCTCAATGAGGAAGGGGCTCTCCCAGAGGTAATTTGTGACCTACAGAGAAAACCCACCAAGCAGCTGGAAACAAGGCCTTCCTTCTCTGGGGTATAAGGCAGGCAGGCAGCAAGGCCTGAGGACTCAACCAGAAAAACAAATGTATGACCACCAGGGAAACACCATCCTTCAACAACTGAGAAGTCACCCTCTGAGGCACCAGGAGAACCCAGCCCCAGGGAGCACCAACACAAGACTCAATGACCAGCTGTGGGTGCCTCCAGGATACCTGAGGCCATCACCCAACCAAGAGCATTACATTTCCTTCTTGGCAAAATGTTGGAACCAGTCTTTAAGTAGGTGAAGCCTAGGGAATCAAAAGCCATGTCTCATTCTTGGTGAGTTCATTGCTGGTGATGATAGACTGAGCCCAAGATCCTAAGTTAACCCCAGAGGGCCAGGGGGCATCAGTGTACCTGGCACTGAAAGCCAAAAACAGGCTAGCCACATTAGGTGACAGCAACCCAGACTCTGGATTTGGGAATCCTGGTTACCATCACCCAGGCATATGCCCACCCATGGACTTAGGTAATGTATCCTCCCCTCCACTCTGGCTAAAATAAAAGCAAACCACATACAGTGTCCTGGGAGGGAGGTGATTGCTGCTCTCCAGCATCAGAAAACAAGCCAATCACAGTCCTCATCCACCTACAACAGGTTCTCAGGGACCTGGAGACCACTGTACAGTACATAGCCAATGTCATCAATCTCTTCTTCCCGAAAACTGCCTAAGAGGTTCACACTGGGGTTGAAGTGACAGGGCAGGCTAGCCTGCTCCAAGCTGCCCACCAGAAACTCCAGGGCTTGCAGAAATCGATCCCCCAAGGCCTCCTCAGTCCAGGCCACTTCCTCTTCACCCAGATGCAGAACCACCTGGGTCAGGTGGCTCCAGCCCAACCGCACCAGAGCTGGATGGCCATGACATACACCACACAGCAGCAGCAGCAACCTGCGGCGAGTACCAGCATCCTTGTCATCCAGGGCCCGCAAACAGGCAGCCTCTACTGGATATAGATCCTGTAGCCAGAGATTGGCAGCCAGCCCCTCCAGGGGCCATGCTAGCAGAAGGCGGTCATCAGTGCTGGCCCCAGGGACCACCATGAGCACGGCTAACGTGAACTCCAGACGCTCATGTTGCACTTCCAGCAGCAGCTCCTCCGAAGCCACATTGGGCCGGATCAGACATCCAAGTAGGCTACCAATGGCTGGCCAGTTGACGGAGGCTGCCAGGGCCTTCCTTAGCAGCTCCAACAAGACACGGGAGGAGAGATAACCCCCGACTAGGAAGCGGTCCCATGGGCTTCGCCCACGGGGATGGAACTCAAGCTGGGTCCTGCGCACAGCCCAGCATCGAGGTTCCCTGGCCACAGTGTCCATGCCAGGTATCAAGCTCCACAGATCTGGCTCTAACTCCAGGGGCACTAGCAGGCGCACACGTTCAGCAACTCCTGCCTGCAGCCCATCATAGAGAGGCCCACCTGGCACAAGGGCACCAAAGGGCAGTTCCGGGAATTTGCTCCTCAAGTAGGCCTGCAGCTCCAAGGCAATGTCTCCAGCCAGCTGTTTCACCAAAGCCACATGGGCTTCTGGGATAATCACATGACTGCGCTCAAATGCCAGCAGCTTCTCCTGGAACGTCAGGCACAAGGGTGCTAGGGAGCTGAGCTGAGGTGTCTGTGTCGTCTGAGAATGAGCAGGTGTGGGCTCCACTGCAGAGAGAAGCATCCAGAAGAGTACATCAGAAGTTCCCACAACAAGTCATGAAAACTGCCTGGTTACTAGCTGTACAGTTGTACTGGGCTTCATCCTCACCTGTGATGGCCACTGAGAAAGCCCTGAGTTCAGGTCCTTAGGACAGTGAGGGCATGATGACAAAGAAAGTCTCACTGGCCCAGAGTCCCAACACTTTGGCTCCTACAACTAAAACAACTTCATGGAGAATGGGGAAGGCAGATCCTGCCCCTCTCCAGGCCTCAGTTTCCCCATCTGAGGCTCCCCACCATCAAATGGTGCAACCTTGCTATAGTAGAAAGCAGACAGGTAAGTCACTGTGGAAGAATCCAGTGGTGGAGCACCGGCTTGGCCTATGTGAAGCTCAGTGTTTTACCCTTACTACAACAGAAAGACATGGAACTACAATACCCATTTAATCATGGGAGGAGCCCACAGCCCAAAGAGGAGCAAAACCTTGTGAAGACTGCGTCTCCTGCACGTGACTCACCACATTTGGGAAGAAGTGCCGCTCACCTGGGGCAGAGGGTGAGGGGGACACAAGAGATATGGGCTGGCTGAGGGCAGCAGGGGGGGGTTGGGGCTGTTGGTGTGATGTGGCTCTCAGCAGGCTCAGTTCCTTCCAGCTGTCCCCCTTGGTGTCATCCTCATCCCGAGGGCTAGTGGCCCTGTCGATGAGCTACAGGCAAAGTGACACAGATCAGAGCACCGGGAGCCAAGGCAAAGCTAGGGGGAAGCACACCAGAAAGCTAGGGTGAAAAAGCAGGGGCCCACATTGTTCCAGCCTCAAAAAGTCCCACCACTGCCAGGCAATGGTGGTGCACGCCTTTTATCCCAGCACTTGGGAGGCAGAGGCAGGAGGATCTCTATGAATTCCAGGACAGCCTGGTCTTACCAAGTGAGTTCCTAGGCAGCCAGGGCTACAAAGAGAAACTGTCTACAAAAACAAAAACAAAACAACAAAAAGGTCCCACCATCCCCCAGCTCCCCAGTCCCGCCTCCTCCTGTGGAGGGTCTCAGGTAGGCCTTGCCAGCCTGACCTGGCCTTACCCGCTTTACAGCCAGGGTGGCAATGCCCAGCACTGCAGCCCCGCCCACCCCTAGCACCAGCCGAGCATTAGCCAGAAGGAAGTCCACTACACTGCCCAGGCCTTCGCTGCCATGCTGCTTCCTCTGCTTCTGTGAGAACTCCGCCATGGTCGCCTGCAAGAGAGGCAGAGGTGTTGTGCTGAGGGGGAGGACAGACAGACTGCTAGAGCCCAATGCACAGGTGGCTTCCTGAGGACTTGTGAGAAAGGGGCTGCTCAAAGAGTTTCTTAGAAGGAAGTAGGGGGACCGCCAGGCCCCTACCGAAACCCGCAAGGGTCCTCCTCTAGAAGGGGGCTCACATAGGAAGGCTCCAAGCCTTTTCCCCTAACTTCACCCTCCAAGGTCTCTGATATCTGCTACGACCTTGAGAAACAAGATTCACCATCGATACTCTTACTCTACAAAGACACAAGCTGCCAAGTCAACAGAGTGCCACAGGCTGGGGCTCACAACACAGTCTCCAGACTCACTCACCTTCAAAGCCTGAATATTTCTATTTTCCCCATGCTTCCTAGTCAGGTTCTCAGACTTCTAATCTGGTCCTACCCAGAACAGCCACCCTGTGTGACAGCCTATCAAGAGGAACCAAAGGTTCCCCAGAAAGATTTGCAATGTATGTTTCCAGGAAGCCTGCCTGGGTGCTTGCCTGTCAGACCTTTGACAGACCTCAGCAAATTCAGGGATCCAGTCCCTGCCCCACCCCACCCCATCTTGACAGAAAAACTTCCAGAGGCAGTACAACCACATGCATTGGAGGCCAGGCTGAGGGCATGTACAAGTCAAGGATAAAGGCCAGTGGCGAGCAAAGTAACCCTAAATAGCCTATTAAATCAGGAGTAGCTGGCAAGACCCCTTGCACTTGGAACAATGTTGGGGATGGGAAGAAGGTGAGAGAAAAAGGCCTATCTATAGCCAAGGACTTTTGTTTCTTTCTATACAACGGCACCAGTAAGGAAAGCTGGATGGGGTCAGGAACCTGGGAAAGGAAACAAATTTCCCAGTGCCCAGTCCACTAAGCCAGAAGGTCATTGCCTGCTGGAGCACCAAGGGCCTCAGCCCTCCCTTTGGAGCAATGAGTGCCTTGGGACCCACTTGCCAAGTGACAAGATGCCTGGAGTAGCTGAAGCCCAAAGCACTTTGTGACTCAGCTGGGACACATGTCTACTCTCCCAGACTAAAAATAAGATCCTGTCCTGGGACCAGCAAGGTCAAAGGCCAGCCAGGGGGTCCATCACAAGCTCAAAAGTGGTTTCTGCTTGTCTACCACTGCCCTCAAACCAGGAACCCAATTTCAAAACTGGAGGAGGTTTACATTCTATCACCTAGCGGAAGTGGGACTCGGCCCTGCACGTGGAGGGGTCTTGTATTCAAACTCCCCGAAGGAGGGAATAAAATAGGTGGTTAAAAATAACCAACGCAGGCCCAGAGTGGTGGTGCAGGCCTTTAATCACAGAACTCAGGAGGCAGAAGCAGTCAGATCTCTGTGAGTTCAAGGCTGTAGAGAAGCCAGAGCTACATAATAAAGAACCTGCTCAAAACAACAAAATAACCTGACTCTTCATAGCCTGGTACCTATTCTCCTCGGGCCCAAACTGATTGCCCTGGATCAGGGCTGAGCAGAAACCACATACAAACTACTCCTAAACTCTATTCAAGGAGGAAGCCACTGAAGCCATGGAATTCACGTGCAGTACCCAAGTCAGGAAGGGCCAACGCTAGGATTCGAACTCAGGTCTTCAGTCCCCGAGTCCTCCCTCCCACCTCGGTGTGACCACAAGCCACGCCTCCACCTGCATAGAGACTCGTGCCAAACCCAGGGCTGGGAAACCCCGGGCCTCCCCGTACGCTGCAGCCGTACCTGCGTCCCGGCGTCAGCGCACCGACCCGAGGACGCAGTGAGGAGCCTGAAGCCCCGGGACCCGCCTGGGAATGGAACGTGCGAGCCCCGGGAACCGAATGCCGAGGCCCGGGGCGGCAGGTGACCCGAAAGGCATGCTGGATAAGCAAGCCCTCGCTCCAATCCGAGAGCACAACTTGTGCACACACGTGCTCAAAGCTGCGCAGCTCGGCCAATGATCGCCAGGCACGCCCCTTCACCGTCGGGGGCGGAAACCACAGACGCACTCCGGATTTAAAGGGGCAAGGCTATGTTGTCTGCGCAAAATGGGGGGAGGTGGGGAAGACTAGTGACAGTTACTCAGGGCCTGGTTAGTTTATTTACTTGGGGGGGGTTGTTGTTGTTTTGTTATTGAGAAAAGGCCTCACACTGAAGCCAAGGCTGACCTCAAATTTTCGGCAGTCCTGCCTAAGCCTCATGTCTGACCTTGTGTGTACTTGTTTATAATGGGAGCCTCTGTGTGGAGAAAGCTGCGGGTCCACGTTCCCTTGGTGAACCAGGCAGACAGAACTGCACTTAGCCCAAAGGCCCACATTCTGTCTCTCAAGTTCACCCCTGCGAGAAAGCCCGGTGGTCTCATTTCCTCTTGGCCTGCCTGGCACACAATGCCCAAAGAGCTGTGCCACCTGTCGTGGGAACTCTTGTCAGTCCTGTCGTGCCTCCTGTAACACCAGCTGCAGACTCTGAACTTCCATAGAACAGCTGTGTCTGCTTATGTACCTACCGTGCGCTAGCCAGTCACTAACAGCTTGGCCGGGCTGGTCTTCTAGAGCAAGAAGCGAACCAATAAAGAGCAGGGGCGGGAGTCCTGACGCCAAGAGAACAGTTCATTTCTTCGTTGTTACTTTGAAGTGTTCGTGCTCCCTGATCCCTAAGCGGCCACATGTTGAGTATCTATTTCTACTGACAACTTTGGGAAGCATGTCACACAAGAGCAAAGCTGAGTCCAGAAACAGAAGGGCTAGGCCCCAAAGACTCGAAGACTCACTACCGCCCATCTGTGGGCACAAGCCGCCGGTGCCCCTGACTTTGGCATCATAATCTCTCCGGGGTCACGGCAAGCTTCAGAGGCTAAAGCAGCCCAAGCGACAGTGCCTGGACCCCACCCTCCACGCTGCCACTGGAGACTGGAGGTAGCGGACGCCTCCAGCGGGAGTCCCGGACCCCCTGCAGGTCTTTCCAGTCCCCGAACTCGCGAGAAGTCAGAAGACTGGGCCGGGCGAGGCCTACAGCTACCGGGGCCGCCGCGCCGCCGGCACTTCCCGCAGAGGCCGCGGCCGGCCGGGAGGAGGCGCGCGCGGGTTAAAGGGGCGGGGCCGGCGCTGACCCAGCCCGCGGCTCCCGGCCGCCCCGCGTCCTCCCTGCCCGCCGGAGACCTACGCCACCATGGAGGCCACCGGGGTGCTGCCGTTCGTACGCGGCGTGGACCTCAGCGGCAACGACTTCAAGGTTAGCAAGGGGGGGAGGTGGAGGGCGACCCCGAAGCCATCCCTCTGGGCCGCGCCCTCTGCGCTTCCGGGACCGGCGGGCGGGGCGGGAGGGCCTCCGAGTGTCTTCCCGGGCCTGCCCCGCCTGCGGCGGAAGAGCGGAGCCGGGGCTGGGCTGGGGCATACCCGGGCCGCACTGGAGAGGGGCCAGCGGGTCGCGCGCCCGGGCCCCTACTACCGGGAACACGCCCTAGCCGGCTACCGCCCCACCCTGTAGTCTAGGACCAGTCACTTCTCCTCTCGCGGCCCCGGGGTTCTCATCTGCCCCAGGAGCTTAGGGAGGCGTGAAATGGAAAGGGATCTGTTAGTATGGAGTGTCTGACAGGTGTGCGAGGTCCCCCGCGGTGTGGTCAGAGCAGCTGCTAGAGTGATGGGGGTCAGGGAACCTGCAACCCAACTTCTTAATAGTCAAAGAGGCAGGCTATGGGCGTGGTGCACAAGCTTTTAATCCCAACACTTGGGAGGCAGAGGCAGGTGGCTTTTTGAATTGAGGCCAGCCTGGTCTACAAATAGTTCCAGGACAGCCGGACAGCCATAGCTACACAGAAAAACCCTGTCTTGAAAATAATAATAATAGTAGTAGTAGTAGTAGTAATGATGAAGCAGGCTGATCCCAGGCCCAGGGTTTGGAAAGCTGGACCGGAGGGGCAGTTCAGAGGCTTGGCTGTTGGGTTAGGGGCTAAACAAGAGGAGATGGGATCCTCCTGAGTTTGCCTGCACGTGGACACACATTTGACTCTGTACACAGTCATCAGTGCTTTACCTTGTCCACATTCCCACCATCCTCACCTGGGGTTTTTGTGGCTGGAGAAGGAGGAGACAATAACAAAAGGCAATTAAGGTTCATGCTGCTCAGATGTCAAAATGGCCAGGGTTAGCTGCCGGGCAGTGGTGGTGCACTGCTTTAATCCCGACACTGAGGTGACAGAGGCAGGCCATCCCTGACTTCGAGGACCACCAGGGCTATACAGAGAAACTCCGTCTCAGGGAACCAAAAGAAAAAGAAATGGCCAAGTTGGGGGTCGGCTGAAGTGGGCATTACATATGAGGAATGAATGAAGAGACTGAGCTAGGAATGGTGGGGAGCTGGCCTCTTAGTACAGTCTGGGGAGTGTCGGGGCAATCTCACTGCAGAGGCCCAGTCTGCCTGGAACACCAGGCAAAGCAATGTGAGTGCCCCTAACTACAGTGGAGTGCTGGGTATCCCTTGAAACACACCATGTTTGTTTGGCCTCCCTGGGACACAGAGCAGGAGAGACAGATTTGAGTATGTTTGTCCTTCTGGACCCTCATTAGTGTCGTCTTGTGATTAAGAAATCAGAACACAGAGTGCAGAGGCTAAGGAGTTGACTCTGGCCTCTAGACTCCATGGGGACCACAGAAGGTGCTGGGAGCCAGGGCACCCTTCTCCCTCACTGACCTCACCATGACTGCTCCCACCAGGGTGGCTACTTCCCTGAGAATGTTAAAGCTATGACCAGTCTGCGATGGCTAAAGCTGAACCGCACAGGCCTCTGCTACCTGCCTGAAGAACTAGGGGCTCTGCAGAAGCTGGTAAGGGCTCGGGCAGCAGGGAGGGTCCTTGTTGCTGGGACTGGGCCAGGTGGGCACATCTGCCAAAAAGATTAGTCATAGAGAGAGAAAACAGGCAAAGCTGATGATGGAGTGGGTACCTGACCTGGGAGGTACACAAGGCAGGTGAGGGTGTAAAAGAGAGGGGACTATTGGGATGGTCTTTCCAGATGGTGCAGTTACACGGCACATCTGAGGTCCCCACCTGAGCCTCTGATTCTTGTCCTGCCTAGGAGCACCTGTCTGTGAGCCACAACAACCTGACTACGCTGCATGGGGAGCTGTCCAGCCTGCCTTCACTTCGGGTGAGTGAGTGCTGGCACTATAGACACTTGTGAACATAGCCATTGCAGGTACAACATGGAGCTAGTCATGTGCCTCTAATGTCTACAACACAGGTAAAGACCCCTGGCCTCACGAGCAGGTGACTTTTCAGAAATTAACCCCAGACAGCAGTGTAGCTGGTGTGTGAGCCTGAAAGATGGCCTGAAAATCAGACTCCCGCCAGCCCTACAGGCTTCAGTCGGGCCTGTTTTTGCAGGACTAGAAATCCTAGATGTTCAGGGGCCAGGCTCTGAATCTGGGCTTCCTGACTATAAACCAGGTCCTTGCCATTTACTAGCTGTCTTAGTTACTTTAATATTGCTGTGACAAACCACAGGACCAAGGCAGCTTATAAAAGAAAGCATTTCGTTTAGGAGTGCAGGACTCTAACTCCAAGAGTTAGAGGACATGACCATGGTGGCTGGGAGCAAGGCAGCAGGCAGCTGTGGTGCTGAGCAGTAGCTGAAAGCTCACGTTTAGACAGCGACGAGGCAGAGAAAGTGTTTTTGAAACCTCAAAGTCTGGTCCCAGTGTTACACCTCCTCTAACATGGCCACACCTCCTAATGCTTACCAATAGTTCCACCAACTAGAGACCAAGCATTCAAGTGTATGAGCCTATGGAGACCATTCTCACCTACACACTACATTGGCTCAGCAGCTTTGGACAAGTCTTCCCTTTTCTCTGGGTGGTAGGATGCACGCAGGAAAACAGCAGGTGTGACTCTTGCTACATTAGACATGGAGACTCAGAAACAGCAGTGAACATCACTGTCCCCACTTCTGCTCAAAACCTTTTCATGTCTATGTAGTGAGGCTTCTGGGGTGCACAGTGATGAAGTGACTTACCTAGTATCACACAACGAGGAACTAGCTGACTTGGCCAGACTATCAAGGCCATGAATAGCCTGTAGTAACTGCACATGGTGCACATATACACATACACAGGCATCTACACATACACATAAAAAGAAAGAAAAAAAAAGAACATGTATTCTTTTGAGGCAGTGGTACAGAAATGATATTCTCAGCTATGAGAGGCTAAAATAGATAAAATGGAAAGTTCAAGGCTCTCCTGGGCTACAGAGTGAATTCAAGCTCCTCTGGACAAGCTAGGAAAACCTTGACTCAAAATAAAAAGTAAAAAGTGGTGCACACCTTCAATCCCAGCACTCTGGAGGCAGAGGCATATGGATCTCTGTGAGTTCGAGGCCAGCCTGATCTGCAGAGCAAGTTCCAGGACAGCCAGAGTTAGAGTGAGACCCTGTCTCTGGAAAAAAAGAAAAAAAGTATGTGGGGATGCAATTCAGGGTCAGTGTCACACGCAAAGCCCCGGGCTTCCATCACAGTACCAACTGAGGGCCTCTGTGGGCTCTGGGGCACACTGGCATTGGGTTTTAAAGTTTGAATAGACTTTCACCAGGAAGCTAGGATGAGCCCACCAGATGGACTGTGTGAGCAAAGGTCAAAGGGGGGGAGAGTCCTCAGACCTGGCTGCCTCCAGTTTCTGAAGAAGCTCCTCATCTGGCCTGTGTTTCTCCCCAAGGGTAGAGAGTAAGGATCACAAATTCTTTCCTTACACACCTAGGCCATTGTAGCTCGGGCCAACAGCCTGAAGAACTCTGGAGTACCCGATGATATCTTCAAGCTGGATGATCTCTCAGTTCTGGTCAGTGGTTACCTGCCCATCTGGCCCCTAGGATGCCCAGTTACTCAGTCCTCACTCATGACAGCAATCTCTGGGGCCATCAGCATCCCTTAAATAGACAGTGCTGGGCCAAGGTCATTCATGGAC